TTGGATTTGATTGTACCCGGAATAGGCATCGAGAAAAGTAAGGATCTTGTGGCCGGTCGTGGCATAGATCATGCGATCGATATTATGCAGTGGAAAAGAATCTTTGGGGCATGCCTTGTTTAAATCCTTGTAATCTACACACATTCTAAGTTTGTTCCCTTTTTTAGGGACTATAACTACATTGGCAAACCATTCGAGATATTTCACCTCCCGAATGGACCCTATTTTGAGAAGTTTAGTTACCTCGTCCTTTATGAATGTGTGCTTTACCTCTGACTGGGGTCTTCTCTTTTGCTTCACCGGTTTAAACCTAGGGTTCAGGCTTAGCCGATGCGTCGTTATCTACGGTGGGATCCCTCTCATGTTTAAATGGGACCAAGAAAAACAATTTATGTTATAAATAAGAAATTGAATAAGCTTTTTCCTGAGTTCGAGGGTTAATCTCATTCCCAGGTATACCTTTTGCTCGGGCAGGTACTCGATCAATATAACTTGTTCTACCTCTTCGACCGTTGATTTGGTGGCATCAGAATCTTCGGGAACAATAAAAGTTTGAGGGGTCAAAAAATCCTCCTCTTCTTATTCTATCTCATGCTTCTTCTATTCGGTCGAGGCTGGTGGCTGTGATTGCTATTTGACTTCCTGTTTACCATCGATGCTCGACCTTTCCGGGGTTGATAGTGTTGATATCGGTGTTACATCATCGACCGCAAGCATATCCTTTGCAGCATGCTGCTCCCCGTATACTATTTTTACATCGTCCGATGTTGGGAATTTCATCATTTGGTGGAGAGTCGAAGGGACTACCCACATATTGTGGATCCAATTCCTTTCGAGCAAGGCATTGTACCTTATGTCACCCTCGATTACGTGGAACTTGGTATCTTGAATGGTTCCAGCCATGTTCACCGGTAGAGTAATCTCCCCTTTAGTTGTTTCACTGGCCATATTGAAGCCGTTTAAGATCCGAGCTGCGGGAACAATTTGATTTTGTAGGCCGAGCTGCTCCACGACCTCGATCGGATGATATTCGCCGAGCTACCTGGATCCACTAAAACAAACTTTACTTGAACTTTATTTACTAAGATAGAAATTACCATAGCGTCATTGTGGGGTTGAGAAATGCCTTCTGCTTCTTCTTTGTTGAACGATAAAGTGCCTTGGGGCACATAATTTCGGGCTCGTTTTTCCCTAGTGATTGATACCTTAGTGCGTTTGAATATGGGTCCATGTGGAGTGTCGACCCCACCGACGATCATATGAATGACATGTTGAGGTTCCTTCTGTTCATTTTTTCTGTTGGTATCCCTTTCTCTGAAATGATTCTTGGCTCGGTCGCTGAGGAATTCTCGATGGTGGCCCTCATTGAATAGACGGGCTACCTCCTCCCTTAATTGACTGCAATCTTCGGTCTTGTAGTGACTATGCGTGCCATGATACTTGCACATCAAATTTGGGTTTTTTTGGGAAGGATCGGGTTGTATGGGTCTGGGCCACCTAATATCTTTGATCCTTCCGATTGGCGACACAATGCCCGATGCATCGATGCTAAAGTTATATTCCGATAACTGAGGTGCTTCTGTGGGATCGGCATACTTGTCAAAATCACTTTTGCTCATAAGTCCCCGAGAATTCTGTCCTTGGTCACTTCTTTGATTGTGCCAGGCGGAATTGCGTCCTGAACCATTGTTGATATCGGTCTTTGTTCGACCTTGGATCCCTTTCGACGTCCCTCTGATTTTTAACTACCGACATGTTTGGATGTATTGAACCGGAAGGGGCTCTTAATTGGTCGTCCTCGACCCTGATCTTCGATTGATATCGATTGTGCACATCTGCCCAAGTTACAGTCGGATACTCGTTTGTTTCAGCTGACGCGATGCTATCGAACTCCGCTCGTTCAACCCTTGGGTGAAAGCATGAACGGCCCAATCATCTGTGATCGGTGGCAATTCCATGCGTTCCATTTGAAATCGGGACACGAACTCCCTCAGTATTTCATTATCCCTTTGTTTTACCTTGAAAATGTCTGATTTCCTCATTGCGACTTTTATGGCCCCTACGTGTGCCTTTACGAAAGAATCTGCTAACATGGCGAATGAGTCGATGGAGTTTGGTAGTAGGTTGTGATACCAAATCATTGCTCCCTTCGAAAGGGTCTCTCCAAATTTTTTCAACAGCACAGATTCGATTTCATCGTCTTCTAAATCTTTACCCTTGATGGCATATGTGTAAGAGGTGACGTGCTCGTTGGGGTCGGTTGTTTCATTATATTTAGGAATCTCGGGCATGCAAAAATTTTTTGGGGATCGGTTTCGGAGGTGCACTTGGTAGAAAAGGTTTTTGCACGAACTTTTTGGAATCCAACCCTTTCAACACTGGTGGTGCCCCCGGGATCTGATCGACCCTGGAGTTATATGTTTCCACTTTTTTATCGCTTGCTGTTTTGTGAGTTCCTCGAGTATCTTAGCAATTTCGGGATTAGTCCCCGATTCTTGTTCATTTGATCTTATTATTGTTGGCTCCGTTCTGTGGGTGATTTCTCGGGATAGACTGGGCTCTGGCTTGCTTGGTACCCAGGTTTGACTCTGCAACTGAGCTATCACTACCTGTTGAGCTTGCAATATTTCGAAAATCGTACGCAAGCTGATTCTGTTTTCCTCAACATTCTGGGTATTTCGAGTTGTAGATCGAGTTCCACCGTGAATACTATTTTCAGGGTCGAAACGTTGGTTTGTATTGATGGCCATATGCGAATTAACGTCTACTGGTACTTCGATCTGAGCTCCAACGGTATTGACGAGCGACCTTTCCTCCTCGGTCATCAAGTTGGTGTTTTCATGTTGAAGGCCGGCTTCGTTGTCGATATATAGAGCCATTAATTGAGAGTTCGTAGTTTCTAATCTGAAATGAAAGACACTTCCAAAAACAAGCGTAAAATGGCGTGTTTTGCAGAGATTCGTATCGAATAACCACTGTTATCCTTAGCCCCACGGTGGGCGCCAAACTATTTACAAGAAAAAAGGATGAGTTGAATTTGTACGTAGTTCTAAGGGTATGTGGTATAACTTGACACAAATCGTAAGAGTAAGTAGAAATATCGAATATTGACTATAAAGAAAAGATGCAAACCGAGTTGAAAGGAAGATAATTTATGAACAAGCAAAATGGAATTATGTATGAAGCTCAAAAGGATAATCTCTTAATGTGGGAATGTATCAACGATATTTGAGTTACAGTGTATTAATGACTCGATTCCCTCTTGCAGGAATAATAACCATCCCTCTTATAGTGGAAGGATCCTGCTTTGGATATAATAAAATACACAGTGGGAACCCATGATAAATCAGTTTTTTCCTAATTTCCGCCGAGATTCCCTTTCTTAGTGCGGCTGTAACAACTCTTGTCTCTTGGCTCGATCTTGATCGGACTTAGTATCGGTCGGTTTCCAGGCTTAAAGCTCGATGTGGGCTCGAGCTCGATATTAACTCGGGGTCCGGTATTGACTTGGGCTCGGTATTGATTGGCCTCTGGCTCTTAAGCTCGATTCTATCGCTTCTCATCATAATTCGATTTGGATTCGAGCTCGATATTTGATCTGTCCCTGAAACTCGAAGCTCATTTGTACCTTTTTCGGATCTCATCTCGATATTATGAAGACTCTCTTTGGTCCATTATGTTCTCATCTCGACCAGTCGTACGAAGGCCGAAATCGGTTTCGACCGTATACAATGAGGAAAATGTTTTCTAAAATATTTAAGTCAACCAAACATGGAAAAATTAAAAAATATTTTCCGAAAATGTGTTTCTTCGTACTAAACACACCCTAAAAATGAAAATACCAAATGATAGCCATGGAGAAGTCTTCCTCCAATCCAGGAGAGGATTTTGTGGAGTCCATTGAGCAGAGTGGCAAATAGGATACATTTGAATTATTACGTTTCTATGGATTGAGGAATATCGTGGTTTTATACTCGGGTGTTCCGTGAAAATTTGCACCAATTTATTCTTTATCATGTAAATACCTTTCAGATAGTATGAACTTCGGCTTTCTTTCATCATCGCCCCCGATCCCTCTCTTAAGAGTTTCATATGTTTTTTTGGGCTTTATTTTCAAAAACAAAAGTAGCACCCAAAGAACGACTTCAAGTTTCTTTCGGGAGTTTTAGTAATTTAAAGTTGGAACTAGGACCCAGCCCTTCTTTTAGATATATAATATGTGGGCATTTTTATAGTTAATTTAAGTGATGCTCAACAGCGTAGTGAAATTCGCCTTGGATCCTTTAGTCCATGAGAGTATAAGATTCAATTACATGTATATACACTATGACTTGTGAGTTGTGCCCCACCCCCTTAAAAAAAAGCCCCCGTGAAAACGGCCTTACATTTTCAGTTAGTATTTATATAATCAACATTAACTTCTTGTACTAAGGCATACATGTTACAGTGAAAACTGCCTTTTATCTCTTCACAGCAAGAAAGTTTTATTGATTATGATTTCCTCAAATGAGGCGGCACAGATGAAGCCCTTAATTCGGTAAAAAAATTTAACTCGTCCGATTCCGCTGAGCATCTTTTGTTTACTTTTAACCTGATATATTTAAGCCGCCCATTTTAGGTCCATAACATTTCTAAGACTTGAGAATGCAATCATGCATCCATATCAAGCTTTTACGTTGAGACAGAGCCGTGCAGGAACTTGTCGGGTAAGTCAATTCCTGCAGTCTGATTTGAAAATATTTACTAGTACCAGTTACCTTAATTGATATCTATGCAACCTACGGATTCACAGGCTGCAAATATTGCATTAAACTGATTGCACAAACAGGCATATACTGATTGAGAGATCTAACTATATCAAGCTGTGTTCCCAATGCCGCCCTCAACAAACTGCTTCATTAGTACAGCACATAAAAAAAAAACAGACCCGGAATAGTAAAAGGCTCGGTTCAGGGTAACAATAACAGCATTGATATATATTTGGTTGTATTGCACGCCCAAAAAACAACGCTTAAACAGTGGATTAATTTGTTACCACAATAGCAAACAAATCAGGTATTCAAAGCGTCTATTGTACTAGATTGTGGAGTTGAATGATTCTGATTTAATTGGAACAAAAGAAAATGACCAAAAAAGATGGAATTGATCTGATAGCCAAAATGAGAACTAAAACATCCTCATACGCCACTACTAGAAACTCTCCAAAACTTTCCTCTACGAGTGATATAGATGCAGGTCTACAAAATACATAAACATAAACTTGAGAGGAGACAGACTGATCCAGAAGTTGGCTTTATAAGCTTATCACTGAATGTTTGAGGACTTGTTAAGGATAACTCCTTCATATTTGACCTGGAACCACTTCATGGCATCCTCCTTTGTGACTCTGTGCTGAATCCCAACTCGAGACTTGCACCTGCGGCGACGGGCAACACGGTATCCAGGACGCTCCAATACAACATAGAAGTCCATGCCATAAATACCAGTTGAAGGATCATATCTGTAAAACAGATGACAAAACTCAAGGAGCGGAAAGACATTTTATAGATATGAAGTAGCAGATGCATAAGCTTCAAGGTTAATATAGTAAGACCACAGCAACCATACGGAAGAAACAAGAGAGCAATATGAGAAGAATTGTTTCTTAATAGTCTAGTTCCATTTTTATGCAGTTCAGACAAAAAGAGTTAACGACAATATTCTTGTTTTACACTGAAAAGGAAGACCAGCTACAGACCACCTCATAAGCAACAGCAGCTAAATATGTAAATCGTGAAAGCTATAGAGAGATACTACAAGATGATCCTTACTTAATTCCAAGATCAATGTGCTCCTGAATACCAAACCCAAAGCAGCCGGTCTCACTGAAGTTCCTTCTCAACAACTCATATTCCTTAACTTTCAATCCACTCTCAAGTAGCTGCATAGCTTTCTCCCCTCTGACAGTTACATAGCAAGCTATCTTTTCATTACGCCTGATTCCGAAAGACCGCACAGTATACCTTGCTGTTAAT